AAGTTAATTAAAAACCAAACAAAACAGCCATGAATAAAAAAGAAAAGGAAAAAAGAAATAGAAAAAAGAAAAGGACGTAAGATGAAAGGAGGGAAGATGGTTCTATTGAGCACATAAGGTGAATGCCGTAAGGTGCTTAGCGCAGCGAGGATGGAGCAAGAGGTGCCCAGTTCGAATCGGGGCGTGCGTGATAATTTTTGTTTTATAAACAGAAAACAAGATAGAATGGGCCGGCCCAGCTACAATACCCTATATTCGGATTTGGGACAGCCCGGGTAGCATCAGGCCTTGCTGTAATGTTTTTTGGCAGCAGCAGTAACGCCCCTCCACCCTCCTCCCCGGGATCTTATTTCCCGCACAGCAGCAAATCCATTTGGCTATTACCTGTGTTAGAACCTTCCTGCAACCAACATTTTTTTGTTTTAGTTTTATTAGCTGGTTTTACTGCTTTTTCTTTGAGTTTTTTTTTCATGAAAACAATTAAATTAGCGAACATTATTTGAATTTACAAATTTATAAATTTGTAAGCTGTATCTAAATTCTGAATATCTTTGAATTCAAGAAAAAAATAGTTCATCAAAGCAATTAGTTCATGTTTCTAATTTGCAAATGAATTATTAAAATTGGTGAACGTTTTTTAGTTCATGAACATTTGTAGGCCTTGCAAACATTTTTTGAATTTGTGAACATTTTTTGGAATTCTGATTGTTTTTCCATCTTTTTTTCTTTCTCAAAACCTGAACATGGACGTTAACGCCTTGAACGACGATGTGGCTTCATGCATGCACGCCTCTAGCCCCCTAGCCCGTGCACTTGACGCGGGTTTGTTCTCTTGTCCATGCAAATTCCTTCAAAGCTGACTCGTTTCAAATCATACATACATACAATAACGATCAGCCACGTCCAACCTGATGTAGTGCAGATAGGTCTAGAGTTTTGAAGTTGAAATGATACGAACTGAATTACACTTTGCATAAATTACACATATATGTGCCACTAGAACAAAGTGCATTTCCCCCGCAAAAGAAAAGTATTACATTTGCACTAGAGGCCCATATATGTGTAAGTTTCCTATTATTACATAGGAAGATAAGTACAATATTTCACCCCTCAATTTCAACTAGTACGAATTTGGACCGTCAACTTCAAAGCTAATTTCTCAACAAACAAAACTTCAAAGCAAGAGAAGTTGCACCATGAACTTTGAAAACCAAAAGGATTTAGTCCCTACTAGAAGGTTTGAACGCACTTCGCTGCGTCATTGGTGTTGTTGGAATTTCATAACTTTTGTTTGTTATCTGGTTTGACGCTTGGGGAAGATGGTGGTTTTTTACAATGCGGTGTTTTGGTGGCCTTTCTTGGCAGTATGATTTTGTGTTATCTGCTCATCAATGCATACTTATGTGATGAAGTTTCTTATGCTGGTGGCCACATGTAGTGCTACAATATCACGTGGCGGTGTTTCCTTTTTCTAGGCGGTGAGAGGATGTGCGAGACTAATGTGTTTTTAGGCTGGTGGTTGCTGATTAATTTGAGAAAATTGTTGGCCCAGTCTAAATCTTGAACCAAATCTTAAATTGAATAGCCTAACTAAATGTAGAGCCCTTGGGAAATCGTTGACCCAGCCAAAATCATGAACGAAGTTTAAAATTTAACACCTCAATTGAATGGGAGGGTTTTAAAATTAGGGAGCATATTGTTTTAGATGATATTGACTCAACGCGGCTCTGTTGATGACCTGGCATGGTTTTGACTAAATGTGTAATGAAGTAGGTCAAGATAACTCTAATTCTACCTAATGAACAGACAACATAATTCAACAACAACTAGATATGCCGAACTATTGAAGTATGGTACAAATAATTTCTCTATGTACTACACATATAGATGTGCTAGACGTCACTTGGTCAAATACAAGTTCATCTTTTCCAAGTCTAATCATCATATTCTTGCTTGACGTGTGTTGTACGTGTTTCAAATGACAAGGAGGCTGTCTTTTCCCCACACAACAAAAGATACTTTCACCAGTTAACATGCACTGTAAACTATTTAGAGAGAAATGAAAAATTGAGCTAAGTTATAAAATCCCAATAATATCACTTCTTTTGAGGTACACACAAAATCAAATACTTAATATAATCTTGAGTCGCCACATAAATATACGTGAACTTGATATATGCAAACTTACACATGAACTCGAGTTGGATGTGGATGTGGATGCCTCATAGAGTTGGGGACATGCATACACACATGCATAGCAACCCGTCCATGCACGCATACGCACATGCATATGTGAGTATGTGTGGTCTTCATAACATATTTGTGCAGTCCACACACCTACGGATCCACCGGTCATTTGTGCATGGGCACCAAATCTTCTCTTGTTATAATTGTTTTATCCTCTTATAAGTTAATTGGTTAGGAATTTACGATATACTTGAGTCATCAAATAAAGCTACTAACCACCGGCCTCCGGTGCATTATTCGGGGTATCCACTCGTGGAGTATCAGGTCCGGCTAGGTTTTTCAAGGAAGACAAATAATCATGCATTTCAGGCACATACTTTTCATGGATCGCTGCATGGTGCATCGGAGATATAAACAAAGTGAGTGAGGAGCATGCATGCGATATTCGAGCACTATGATAAAGGGACGCCAAGAAACTTACCCTTGTCCACCTTGTTATTGGAGTCAGCCATATGATCAATGTATCTCTGTCTTGTAAACTAGGTCGAGTTGTTGATGACCAAATGCTCGGAAAATTTCGGTTCTTATAGAGGCACAATAGGCGGGAAAATAATAGAAGCTGCATGAACTAGAATGATCATGACATTTAGCGAGGAACTAGTACGTGTATACTTCCATTACTGAATTATACTAATGTAGGAGTATATGGACTCCTTTGAGTGAGTGCTATTGCCTTAAATGTGCAATCGGACACATGTACTCCCTCTGTTTGTTTTACTCCGCATATAAGATGTGTCTTAAGCCAAACTTTATAAACTTTGACCAAGTTTTAAAAAAAACATCAACATTCCCAATACAAAATCAGTGTTATTAAATTATTATGGAATTAGTTTTCATATTGTATATCATTAGTACTATGGATTCTATTATTTTTAAATCTAAAGTTGGTCAAACTTTATGAAGTTGTTGACTTCAGACTAATCTTATATGCGGAGTAAATGAAAAGGAGGTTCCTTTTACATGATCTACTCAGTCATAGAATATGTGTCAGACGCACACGGTTAGAAGTGTGCAAAAATTATGGGTAGTTCATTCAAATAAATGCTAAGCAATTGAACATGACATTAAAACCACATATAATAAAAATATATAAAAATGAAATCATGGTGACATGTACGTGGACTCACTCCTCCACACACATGCTTCAAACTATATTTATTAATGCACAAAATATATGCTGATGATATTCACTTTTTTAGTTTAGTAAACGGCGTCTTCTAAAGATGTGAACATGATAAATATCTTGCAAGAAGAGTCTGACCGTGTGTAATCTACTTGATCTTGGCATCCAAGTTATTACAAGTCTTCTGAGTGTCAATGTACGTAGCAGCTCTTAGCTAATATTCTACACAATCAGCTATGTGTATACACATGATATAACCGTCATGGATTTTTTCTTTATTTGACAAGCTGATGTGTACGTGTACATCCATCCAAAAAAAGATGTGTAGGTGTACATAGACTAGATTTTTCCTTGGTCATTGTTCCAAGTCAGATTAAATTTAGTTTGTAATACATGAAGTCAAGTCGTTTTTACTTGTACACATGTTTTTTTATTACATGTTTTTACTTGTACACATGTTGATGATATATGTTTCTTGTAATTTATTAGGTAGATAGCAAAATAACTTGTGCAATACAAAGTTGGTAATTATGTTAAAACTAGAACTATAGAGACGTCATGTTGAACAGTTCGTACCGTGTTGGTTTGTCCGCACACTGTCTTCGAGTTCTACACACCTTACCCTAAACAACCTTGGCTGACTTAACACAAAGCACGAGCATCACACAATACTCCGATAAGGACCACCAAGGGACCGTACAACAATTCTTGAGATACATGAAGTCACCGTATAAGCCTCGTAGTTGAGGAAATTGTTCTCCCGCTAAACAAACATTGCTAAAAAAATTAGAAGAAACACAATAAATTCAAGAACCCATGCCAAGTCAGTTCGCTATAAAAAAGTTAGAACTAACTCCCTACCATCCCCGTAATATTTTATTATATCATCGGCACAAACCAAGGCACGGTATATACATGTATGATTTCACAAAAGAAAAACTTAGAAATGCGAGTAAAAAAACATACATGTATTTATTTTTTTGTAGTGGAGAAACGTACCGTCCTTAATCAGTAGGTATAGTTTCTTGCAAGAAAGCGACCAATGTTGGGTTGAGGGGTTTGATATCAGTTCCGAAAGGGTGTCACCATATTTGTTGGATAAACAAAAATTTAAGTCAAATATAAGAAAAAACGTGGAGACAAGATGTAGTTCATACAAAAGCAACGCTTCAGTGCCCGACGGTTTCGCCTCGACGAATATAGCCTTGGTTAGCCCGTGCACCGTGCCGTATAATAGCAACCCCAACATGCACGACGCCATGGGCAGAAGAACGAGCATTGCGTACCAATTAGAGCATAATCTTACTGACCCTGTCATGAGCTCAAACCTATGAATATGCAGGCACGCTATATCGCGCTAAGCCCAAGCACGTTCTCATTTGCTGCTAGATATTCAACCACATTTACAACCAACTTTTCAATCTCAACTAATATATAGGGGATAAAACAATAAGAAAATTAACACCCGTTCATGTTTCATGTACATAATAAAGAGCACTGTACTAGACTAAAACTCCATCAAAACACAAGGGGAAAAAACTCACAACCTTCTTCCTAAACACGCATGCCATTTGTAAAGCTAACCTAAAAGATATTGCACCAGCAACTGGCTAGCCATCAAGCTGCTGCATCATGCAACGTAGTCCTCATCAAGAAACTCCATCAAAGGCTGTTGCAGCGCCTTCATTACAGCTTCCCACCCAGCATGTGTTGGGTGTGTCTGGTCCCAGTAGAACATCTTGTCAGGAGTTTCACATAGGTCGTACAAGCGCTTCCCTGAATGGCTACGCTCTCCACAGTACCCTCCCTTATAGGTACTCTCGCAGCACGGGGTCAGTTTGCGGTTGAAATTCTTGGACTCATCCGACCCTCCACCTGCATGCACAAAAACAGTTATGCATAGTTACAGAATCAAATTCATACATTATAAGCCAGATTTGGCTTACAACATACACGCGGATATGTGTACTTACCAGGGGCATGATTAATGATGTCAGTGAAAGCAGTGTAGAGGTCCAGTATGTGAACGTTGTCCCTTTCTTCGAGCATTTGCTTTAGATACTTGTTGTGCACGGATGCGCCATAATTGCCGAGAAGGTCGCACGTGGTGTAGTTGTTCGAACTAGTATGCAAAGGCATGCAACCAATGGGATGCAAGTTGTTTACTAGCACCTTTCTCACACCAAGCATCTGCAGTTGCGCCACATTATCTAGGATCTCAGTCGCCACGTTTCCGACGTAAGTATCGAGCTGCATGCAGGAGAAGTTAATTAGCAAGGCGGAGATTGATATATTAATTGATGGTGTAATTTGTATGTGTGAGTATGGTAGCTACTACTTACATCGTCGAAGCTTGTGTAGAAGCCATTATTGGCCTCAGAGCCGCTCATGTAGTCATTGCCGGAGATGGCGATGAGCGCGACAGAGTGGTGAAGCTGTCGTGTTGGGATGACCCCGTCGTTGACTAGCCTCTTGAAAGCTTGAACCTGTGCAGCAAGGGTCGGCACCTTTTTCTTCGCTGTCACCTTGAAGACACCAGCACCGCCAGAAGCGAAGGTCATGCCAGATGAGCCACAAGATTGATCATCTGTGAGCTCGTACGCTGGAGGTGCTTCATGGAGACCCAACATCCTTGCTGCAGGGACAAGCAGTAGATAGGAACGATTATTTTGGATACACCTAATAGATGTATAATGATACACGTCATAGCACACTAGCAGTCTAGCATTAGACTAAAACTAAAATTTGCTACCTAGCTATATACTTGCATAATATATGAGTACACGTACCGATAAAATCTGATTGCATCCTGTAGTTGGAGAAGCGTCCGGTCAAAACAGGAGACGTAGGATAATGAGAGTTGAGATAGGAGCCGTAGGGGTAGCTCCATTGGCGCGATGTCTTTTCACCGGTGATGTTGGGACGGTTGCCGTTGTCGACAAAGTCGTCGCCGAAGACGAACATGCTGGACCATTGGTTCCTCGACCCCTGGGCAGAAGGTGTGCCTCGGGCCTCCACTGAAGCACCTGCAACATGGATCGATCATGTGAGTACGTGCGCGCGTGCATGCTGGAAGAACATGAAGAACGGGACAAGATTGAAGTGATGTAGTAATACACGGCTAGCGACAGATGTCCAAAAGGAAAACAAAGGCGGCACGCTAGCAGCAAACATCGGAAAGAAAGACATAGTGGCAGTGCGTGCGTACCATCAAAGAAGACGAGGATGAGGAGAAGACAGACAACAGCCGGCGGGAGCTTCATGGCTGCGAAGCCTGCGAGGGCAGCCGTCCGGCGCCCGGCGACGAAGCAGATGATGGAGAGGGTGCCGCGGAGGGAGGGAGATGGGGACGGGATGGGATCGTGGTGTGGACGTAGGGCTATATTTATAGGAGGAAGAATGCACGTGTACCTTAGTGTCCTGCTCCTGTTAACTTCGCTTCAACTTCTTACCTCTACGATCAACTTGGAGGGGAAGGCCCATGCGCATGCCCATGTCTTTCACCGGCCTAATCTCGTTGAAGTTCCAGATTCATCCTCAAGATTCCGCCCTCCCTACGTCCGTTTCCCCTCCTCATCAGTGAATGCTCCTCACGTACTCATCCGGGTCTTTTTTTCTCCGCCCATACCGAATTTTATGCCCGATGTACCTTCTAGATGGTGGCCCCTCTTTCCAGACAACACAATGTGGGTTTAAACCCTGTTCGCGAGTACCAAAGCATCAAACTCCTTTATAAGGAGCTGTATCCATCGTTGTAAAGTATGCTTGATACTTTTTCTTTCATGTGGAAAGTAAGCTTGATACTAATTAATAGAAAGAAAAACAGCTTCATGCAAGATTCAAGGGAAAACTTTGTTTTTGCCACTCTAGTTTTTGCCTACTTTGCTTATGCCACTCTAGAATTTGACATATCACTTTTGCCACTCTTAGTTTTTGACAATACATCACAAATGCCATTCCGTGGCAAAAGCAATAACTTTTCATTTCACTTTTGCCACTCTTAGATTTTGACAAGTATCACAATTGCCACTATAAAATTATTACTTTTGCCACGGAATGGCAATTGTGATGTATTCTCAAAAACTAAGAGTGGTAGAAGTGAAATGTCAAATTCTAGAGTGGCATAAGCAAAGTGGTCAAAAGCTAGAGTGGCAAAAACAAAGTTTTCCCATTCAATTCAATGCCTCTCGTTCCCTCCTCGCTCGTGCTCATAGCTCATCACTAGTGCTCGTAGCTCATAGTTCAGGCTAACAATTCGGATCATAGCCTCTCGTAAAGCGCACTAGGGGGCAGCAAAAGAAAACATGATTAGCATCCTCCGGGATAGTGCAAACTGTGCAATTCCCATTGGAGGGCCCACTGCGTTTAGCCACGTTGGTAGTGGCTAGGAGACGATTATGAAACATTTGCCATAGGAAGATTTTCACTTTAAGAGGGAGACTAGTGATCCATAGCCCCCTAGCTATGTCCAGCGAGGGCCCTTTGCATGCTTGGCATACAACGACTTAACCGTTAATTGGCGAGAGGCAGTGGGAGCCACGATACCATGTTCATGTCCGCAGATAACATAATATTGCCAAGCCTCCCTGAAAGGATCGAGAAGAGGTGTCTAGAGGGGGGGGGGGGTGAATAGACTCTTAACAAAGAAAAGTAGCAGTTTTTAATTTCTTTAAGTTGAGGTGGAGTTTTAGCACAAGTTTAATCATTCACAATACATTTCAAGCAAGCATGACAAGAGTATATGAGCAGCGGAATGTAAAGTATGCAAGTTGCAAGAAAGTAAAAGGATGAGATTGGAGTGTGCAAACACAAGACTCAGAGATTTTTGGCGTGGTTCCGATAGGTGGTGCTATCGTACATCCACGTTGATGGAGACTTCAACCCACAAAGGGTAATGGTTGCGCGAGTCCACGAAGGGCTCCACACACGAAGGGTCCACGAAGAAGCAACCTTATCTATCCCACCATGGTCATCGCCCACGAAGGATTTGCCTCACTAGGGTAGATCTTCACGAAGTAGGTGATCTCCTTACCCGTACAAACTCCTTGGTTCAACTCCACAATCTTGACGGAGGCTCCCAAGTGACACCTAACCAATCTAGGAGACACCACTCTCCAAAAGGTAATAGACGGCGTGTTGATGATGAACTCCTTACTCTTGTGCTTCAAATGATAGTCTCCCCAACACTCAACTCTCTCTCACAGATTTGGATTTGGTGGGAACATGATTTGAGTGGAAAGCAACTTGGAGAAGGCTAGAGATCAAAATTCAAATGGTTGGAATGGAATATCTTGGTCTCAACACATGAGTAGGTGGTTCTCTCTCAGAAAATGAATGCTAAAGTGTAGGCATGTTCTGATGGCTCTCCTTACTAGTGAAAGAAGGGTGGAGGGGTATATATAGCCTCCACACAAAATCTAACCATTACACACGATTCACCAAACTCGGTGGGACCGAATCAGAAAACTCGGTCAGACCGATTTAGTTCATAATGTGATCGTTAGGCATTTCGATGGGACCGATATGATCAACTCGGTGGACCGATGTGCTAGGGTTAGGGTAAAACCTCATCTCGGTTTGACCAATTACACAAACTCGGTGGGACCAATTTTGGTAATAAGCAAAACAGAGAGTTGGTCAGGCAAACTCGGTGGGACCGATTGCTTATCTTGGTGGGACCAAAATACTTACAACATGTGACATAGAGTTTGCAAGCCCATCTCGGTGAGACCGGGATCCCATCGGTGAGACCGAATTGATTAGGGTTTCTGGCAGTGGCTATGTCAAGTGAACTCGGTGGCGCCGGATAGAACATTTTGGTGGGGCCGAGTTTGACTTTTGATTTGGGACATATGTGGATATGAGAAAGTGGCTGAGGGCCTTGGAGCATATCACTAAGCACTTTGAGCAAGCAAGCCATTAAGCAATACCTCATCCCCTTTTAATAGTACTGGCTTTCCTACGGACTCAATGTGATCTTGGATCACTAAATGAAAATGTAGAGTCTTGAGCTTTCGAGCTTGAGCCAATCCTCTGTTCTTAGCATCTTGCAGGGGTTCCATATCCTCTTGTTCACGCCACTCCATTTGTTGAACTTGTCTGAAATATAAGATAAAAATATTAGTCCAAAAAGAGATATGTTGACATTAATTACCAAAACCACCCATGGAGCACTTGTGCTTTCAATCTCCCCCTTTTTGGTAATTGATGACAACATACATCAAAGCTTTAGATAAAGATGTAGAGAATAGCAAGTAAAGCTTTGGAAGAACATGTAACATGCATAGGCTTCCCCTACATGTATGCAATCATGTAACTATGGAATATGAGAGCATGTGAATGCATAGACATGATAGAGCAAGAAATGAGTTACATGTATCTTGGCTATATGCATCAGAGCAAATGATATGAATATAGTTCCCGCAAAAAAATGACGTGAATATAGGGAATATACCTTCATGTTCATGAATCCTTCTTGCAAACAATATGTACAATAGCAAGCAATCATCACGCACATGGGTGTGATGCATATACTTACCTTGTGGTCTTGGGGTAGCTTTGGAAGAGATGAACCTGAGTAAACAAGGTTAGATAACACAGAAACATCTACTAAACAGAGCAAGAACAGCAAACCACAAGATTACCAAGACTGGGATGACATGTAGAGAATGAGTACTAGGTACTCCTATTGGATATAGACATGTCCCCAAGGATAAAGATATGCAATGAATTCAAAGATTTTCTTCCCTTAGTCTTTCTCCCCCTGAACCTTATATTGGATAATGGAAGAAAGTAGGGAAAAGAGAATCAGAGCAAGACAAAAAAAGAGAACAAAAACATAACACAAACTTAACATGTCTTTCCCCTCTAAAGACATGTGACTTCTCTCCTCTTGAACACTAAGCATCTGGGGTCTCTCTCTCCGTTTCATACGATTGAGCATTCATTCTCCCTTTGAAGTACTCTCCCCCTTTGAGGTAATTAAGCTTTGATGTGATCTCTCTCTCCCCCTTTGACATCAATTTCCAAGAAGGGGTCTTCTAGATTGTGAGTCAAATAGGTTTGGTCCTTGAGTCATAGAGCAAAGTAGTATATAGAATGTGATGCTGGTAGAGGGCAAGAATCATTGAGTGGAGCTGGAGTAAAAATTTAGGATGCAAGTGGCAAATTGTCTTCTTTGCAGTGAAATCGGTAACACCGAGTTGTATTCTTCGGTGGCACCGAAATGGTTTGGTTTGACCGAAAGCGACAGACCGGTGTGACCAAGTTCAACACAGAGAGAACATTTGTCACATCAGATCACTAGGAAAATAAGATCTCACAAAGATTTGCAAGGAATTAACTTAAGGATTTGCAATGAATTGGATGCAGGGAATGCAGAACAAAACAGAGAAAAGAAATCTAGATGAAGTATGCAAAAACACAGGGAAACACTAGGAAGCTTCATCTAGAGTTGGTCGGCGACAAAGTCACCTATGTTAGAGTATATTGACCGAGGAGTCAAGTGAGAACACTTGATCATAGGTCATACTCATCGTTTAAGCTTAAAATGGGGTTACCATTTTTCGTTTAAGCATTTTGATGTATTCACATCCTGTTGAGTTGCTTTGACCCATGACTTGGGGTAAAGCTTCTCTAAGATGGAATATCATACCTTTGGTGGTGGTGTTGTACTCGATTATGTAGTCGAACTTGTGTGGGATTCTCAAGGTTGATGTAGCTCATCAATGACTGGGGGCACCACTTGTAGTTTGAGTTCATCTACCTACATGGGTTAGTCTTTCAAGGAAAAGCACTTGTGTATCCAAAATGACAATCATGAAATTTGATGCCAAATGAAATTTGATATAGAGGAATTGTCAAAGGATATGTTGAAGGTTTCATGCTTCCTTGTCTTCAACCACCATATTGTAGAGGCTTGGTGATGTAGAGATTGCTCAAGATGCGAGTGATTTGCAATCTCATAGATTTTGATTCATCCAAGTACCTACAAGGGTTAGATAGCATGCAAGGGTGCAAATATATCCAAGATATATGATCATCATCATAAGAGAAATATCAAGGATTAGTTAAAGGCTCATGCCTTGCATGTATCCAAATGGATTTCTACTCCAAGTTTGAAGCATCAATGATGTTCAATTCACCTCTCAAACGATAAAATACTTTCTCATCAAGCGGTTTGGTGAATATATCCGCCAATTGCTTATGGGTATGAACATGCTTAAGATCAATGTCCCCTTTAGCAACATGATCTCGAATGAAA